CTCCACGTTCCATTTCTAGATCGTTTTTAATTTCTTCGCAAACGTTTCTTTCAACATCGTGTCGCGCAATGATTTCTCTTCTTTTTCCTTTGCATTTATCGGGCTTATTTGTTGTTGCTGATAAATTTCTCTTCCCGAATTAAACTATTTCACGCGTACTACAGTTTCTACAGTGTATATATTCAAAGTGGATATATTTCCTTCAAAATTTTATACTTTAGAACAAAATATAAAGCCGTCCACTTGAATAACATTGGTTTCGAGTGCAGCTACATGTACACGCTGGTTCTTCTTGTGTATACTACTCTTTGATACCTAATTATATCTTTCGAACCGTATGAAAGGTTGCAAAGCAGATTGCACTCCAGGAGGGTGATCTCTGAAAAAAAAATCGCTTCGATTCGTATCTCTTGATTTTCAAATTGAACTTGTGAAATTTTACGAACGCAATATGTATAATACTTTATTTGAATTGCGTTCGTAAAATTTCACAAGTTCAATTTGAAAATCAAGAGATACGAATCGAAGCGATTTTTTGTCAGATATCACCCTCCTGGAGTGCAATCTGCTTTGCAACCTTTCATACAGTTCGAAGGATATAATTAGGCATCAAAGAGTAGTATACACGAGAGGAACCAGCGTGTACATGTAGCTGCACTCGAAACCAATGTTATTCAAGTGGACAGCGGTTGAAAAAGGCAAGACAGATCCTCAGGAGTTGGAAGAGAGCTAGCGAGAAGGAGAAAGGAAACGTAGAGCTACTCGAAGGACTGCAGTGGCCGGAGAAAGGCACAGAAGAGGAAAGTTCGTCGGCCACCTGAAAAATTTCCATCCGCAGCACAGGGAAAGGAAGATTGAATTGCCATCTTCTGGACTATCGCCAACTCGTACGTCGCGCGGGAGGTCGTCGTGTCGTCGTCTTCCTGCCGCTTCTCGAATCTTAAATTCGGAATCCGCTCGGCGGGATCCTTCGACGCGTTTGCCACGCGATGACTTTTCTTTTCACCGCACGAAAATTTTCGAAACATTAATTTCACGATACGTCGATTATCGAAACGAGACGAAGTTTACGGATGGATTGAAACAGCCCATTGCGCGAAGGAATCATTAATTTTAAAAGTGAGGGACAGTCGATCACTGAAGCCTGAAGTACATCTGTTTATTCGACACAAAGATGGATTTTTTTTTTGTGGATCTTAATTGTTACCTTGTTGGTTAAAATTAGACCGTTTGTAAAATATTGACGATGTCTCTAACATTTAAATTAAACGAGAAGAAATGTCAATAGATACGAGGCCTATTTTAAAAAGAAATTGTAATCCTCTATCATTGTAAGAACGCTTTTACTAAAATTCAAAGAAAGTTACAATCAACAGCTTCTTGAATATTTTATGGATTTTCTATTTCTAAAATATTGACAATTGTTTGTACTCGCTTGGAAACACGTATATATAATTAAAATATTTATACGACGTTTTCTTTTTTACCAAATATCATTGCTGCAACTTTTGAAAGTACTACAACAGAGTCGAGATGAGATATCTCATGTTTGACAATTTCGTACTTATCTTCATGACTCGTGGAATGACAATTTCGAAAATTCGACATTCCCCGAAAATAGAAAAAAGACAAATTTGAACATAGGACAGGAACATTTTGCCAATATTTAGGATTTTTAGAAACTATAAAACAAAAGGTTGGATTCATGCGGAACGCTTCATTACGCGATCTGGAACCTCGAGATGTTAATTAATTGAAATTAGTTTGTTAATTCGAGAAGTCGTTACGATTCCCCGCGCTCGTGTGTTTGTTGGTTTCGAAGATGCAGTTACGATGATACTTCAATCACTAATGAGCAAGAGAAGTCAAACCTTGTGCATCTTAATTAAAGTTCCGAGTTCGTAAGCCAACAGCTCTTGTCAAGTACGCGAAACATAATGTTATTAAAAATAATGAATTTTCTCTTGTCCAGTGATCCTCGTAAATAGAAAAAAATACAAACTGCTCGAAGATATCGAATTAAGGTACCGAGCTGTGCTTACACTTTTGCCCGAAAGTCTTGAGACAAGTACTATCTATATTTGCTTCAAAACTGGATCGATAAAATAATAATAAAATAATATTTTATGATAAAATAATAATATAATAAAGTAATATTTGATTAACAGTATCTGATAAAATAATATTTTATACAACAAAGAATCTACGTCAATACATTAATAATTACATTATATTATAAAATACACATTAAACTTTAACAGATGTAATTTTCATCATCTACAATACCGAATGTTGAAAACTGTCTCGAGACTTTCCTGTACGAGATCATTCTTTTCCTTCTTCTACTTTAATCACTTTGTCTCGATCTTCCCCAAAATATAAGAAATGTTCACATAAATTCGTTAAACTGGTGGAAATAATTAAAAGAGAAAGCTACTACCTACAATAGAGTTCATTCCCTCCTTTGAGGGTGATTACACTTAATCCTTTCAACACTCCGAGGACACGTAATAGCACCATAAAGACAACGACGGTTTGTCAACGATCAGAGGGCGTGAAGTGATTCTATACTACGTTACACAAGTTGCCTTTAGCTCGCAACCCTTCTTACGAGTCGTATAGCACCCCTGTAGCAGCCCTTAGTGTCCCATGGAAAGGTCGCTTAGGGATCGACACCGCTAAACACCCGCTTAAACCGACCAAATCGTTTCCTTCAACCTTCCTGCTACTATGTTCGTTCGGTTTACCACACATCGAGTGGAATAATGTAATTACACCGAGTTTTTTTCTTATTCAAAATAGTTTCCTTATTCCTATGAATAAAATAATTTAATCTACGATTTTACGCATTCTCGCTCAAAAATTTTAGGCTAGGTTCTACGTATTTATTTTTTCACTATAAAATACATAATAAAAACTATTATACTATACTATTTTAGAATTTATATTGTTCATATATCGATATTCTTTTGAAAATGAAATATTATTTGGTTTTCGAAACAAATATCGTACTTTTATCGTTCTGTTTTAAAATATAACACATTTAAAAGTTTCACACGTAATACTATAGTATAATTCCGCTTATATGAACTTGTCAGGGGACAAACACTGAAAGAATTCTCTGTTCTACTAATGATTTTTCGTTCATGTAATTGGAAGAGATTGACCAAAATTTGGTTCAAATAAATGAAGTTCACGTGAACGGAATTCTATTGTAGCTCTAAGATTTTTGAATCGAAAAACACAAAGGGCCCTAGCAGTCTACCTCGATTAGTTCTCTGTGTACCACGGAAGACCACAGGGAGATGATCGACACTGTTAAACCAGTCAACTAGCACTCTCGAAGATCGACGTTATTACCCTACGATCATCCGGTTCGCCACTCACCACATCCGGGATCACACGAATACCGAAAGGGAAGTAATTGCTGTGCCGTCCACCTCGGCATCGTTACCGACGTAACCTGATATTATGATCACATTGTTTATATTATATTATATATATTTAATATATTATTATTATACATTAATATATATTTATATTATGGTCACAGGAATTTTCAACGTGCTGTGAGAATGCAAGAATAAATGGCAGGGTGCCATTTTTTTCCTCTTTAATTTCGATCGTTTCACTAACACTTGAATCATTATAGTTTGATCGCTACGACTCGTAATTAGAACGCAGATTTTTATAATATACCCTTCGACACGTCGTAATTTTCACAGATCAATGATCTGCACATCAAAAGTCGCATCAACCACGTTGCGCTGGCAACTGATTGCGGACCATAACGAGCGACCAGAACCGTGTACAATAATTCGTCGCTTTCTTCTCGAAACTCGTCGGTGTCACTGGATAGAAATTATTGAGGAGCAATAAATTTATTATTTGTTTTGCCTATTTTGTTTTACTTAAATATACTTAAAACTGTGAAGATATTACAATTTTGGGGCAAAAGAATTCTCGACGAATACCGTCAGAAAGAAATTTACGCGACAGGTGTTCCTAAAAATTCATAGAAAGGAATATTTTCCCCAGAATACCAAAATCCGATCACCAACGTCAGTGGCGAAGAGAATCGCATCGTTGTCCAAATACTCGTTTCTTCAACTGGGCAAAAATTTGCAGAGAACGCCCAGTGTCGGAGAGATCTCCCGCTGCGGATGCGAGAGCAATTAATTTATTTGCGCACAGGGTACGAACGCACCGAGTGAGAAAATTATTCAAGAAGACGGGTAGGATACGCGCGCAATATATATCCACGCTTCGTTCCGGAGGCTTGCCGGCGTTTCACGCGGCGCGGCGCGCCGTTTCGAATTTAACGAGCTCCTTCATTGATGAATCGCGTTCATCAAAGCGCCGCACGATTTCAGCCCGATCTCGTGATCTAACGACGCCGCGTAATCAGCACGCCGGTGAATTTCCGAGTCGGCTGCTGCCACTTACTTTGGCATACATCTACTTTAGCGTCCGTCCGTCGTGTCTCTATAACGCGTTTCCCGCCTCGAAACACTTACAATTGTGAACGCGTTTTCAAGGAACTTCTCTCCCCGATTTTATTAGACGCGAGAAAATCTGCTTCGAGCGAGAGAACGAAAATTTCATTTTCGGGAAACTGTATCTACGAAATATGATAGCATGCGCGTCAAAGTTAAAATTCTTGCGTCAATTATAATAAAAGAAAGTATTTCACGCCGTGATAAACGCGGCGAGCCGACACCGAGTCACATTTGACCCCATAGCTGAATTTTTACTACACCTAACTTTTTTGGTACAGGATGTTATCTAATAATGTTTATAATATGGGTAGGAGAGGAGTTTGTTTAAAAAATGTAAAGTTCTCTAAACATATTTTTTATTTATGTGCGTTGCGTACATACAACGTTATTGTGTGTTATTGCAACATTTGGTACCATATTTATTGTCATATTTATTTATTACCGCTTCGTTCATGTTCCCGGTGTCGGCTACGCGAGGGTTAAAAGAATGAAATCGTTTACCTTGTATGGCCCTAAATCCTTGACGCTGCAGGCTAATTTCACGTTACGTCCCGCTGGCACTGTGATATTTCCTATTTCATCGACGAACTCGGGATCCGGGACGCTGGTAACGGAAACGACTGTAACTGAAATAAAATAAAACGAGGTTAACATACCACTGAACATTTAATCGTCTGACAGCAATGATTGGGGGTTACTTTTGTTTAATATCTAAATTTAAATGTTCGACTTTCTGCAAATATATCCTCCCATTCGGTTCTTGACTGAAGGAACTGAAAAAAGATTTGAAATATTCAACGAGAAGGAAATCCGTTAGAGAGTTACCTTCTCTAAATAATACTCAATAAAGTCGATTCTATCTTCAGTAATATTCAATGAAAAGGAAATTTGCATTCAGATGTGTAAAAGAAATAGTACACTATTATAAAAACCATTTACTTTCAGAGAGCAAATCGCAACATAAGTAAAAAATGAATAAAATCCAATGGTCAGAAAGATAGTTAGCCATTCTCAACGACGTAAATCGTTAACAGAAGATACTTTCGTCTGGCAAAATTAACAGTTATTCTCAAAAGTAACAGCTGTTCTCATTCAGGAGCAAACTTGGAAGGACCTGTAACGATTCGAAACTTTTGCACGTCGCTGTACGAATACTTGAACTGGAAACAGCGAAACAAGCAAAGAGGCGAGAGGAAATCGTAGCTTGGAATTGATAAGCGACGCTCGATTAAAAAGGAATTTCCGCTTCGTGTGTTCTCTCCGTAAGATTGCCAGTCGGGAATCAATCGATTCGCCATCGATCGGAACGATGGAACATCAAAGAGTCGCGCGCACGGAAACGCGGCGATCGATGTTCCCCGTGGGACATTATCAATTCCCAAAGGGACGGGGAAGGGCAGGGAAAAAGACGATGGCGAAACGAGATGCTCCTTTCTTTCCGACGACGTCGCAGGACATCGAAAACGCTGCGTGTGACTAGTATTTCCTCGCGCGAAGGTCGGGTCGCAAAGAAACGGGAGAGATCGATCGATCGGAGGCGAGATAGAGGCAACAGCGTCTACGTGGATGCGTGGATGCGCTTTGAGTTATAGGAGACCGCCGCTCGGACTGACAGCCTAGTTATTGAATACAAAATGCAATTTTTCAAGTCTGCCGCGCGGCGTACATCTGCTCGCAGCCAGTCCTGAAAAGTAACAGACCGTTCCTCCCGCGAGGAGCTGATCGAATCCTCGCCAAGGATTTCGAGATACACCCGTCCCGTCCAACCGGGACCAGCCATCCATCCTGAAATTCTCGCGATCGCGTCTTCTACCCTGAATAGCATTATTTCATGGAGTGCTATGGAAAGAAGAACGAGCCGAGAATACCGGTATACCCTACCCGAGGTCGAAACGTGTTTCGATAACGTGTTGAGAGATAATGGCGTTACTCGGGGCATGGAACGGCTTCGCGTTTGAAATGGAGACGAGAAAAGATTGGATCCGTTCCTTTTCGTCTCCTTTTCGCTTTTGGCTGAGTGAGTGAAGGGTCAATGCTTCTGGAGGAGGGAATTAGGATAGGTGAACTTTAATGACCTGTTGCGTGGAGGAGCGAAATGTATAAATGGTTATACCATTTCGTGTTTAATAATGTGAAAATGTTCCCGTGTCCCCATTGGCGAACAGTTGTCTTTGTCATCCTCGCTATTTCTAGCACTTTGTCACTTGTGAATAAAACGGAATTGAACATACTAATGTAGTATCGATTATTATAATTAATCTGTAGTTATAATTTTAGTTACGTTTAAATATAACAGATGGACGATCTTAGAAATATGATAAAATATGAATGTGATGCGAGAAATCCAACGGAAGCATGGAGCGCTTTTTTTTTTTTAAACGAGAATCGTGAGCGTCGCGAGAGAGCGTTGAAAAAGAACTGTTAAAAAGTGTCAATTGTGTTGTTAAAAGAATTTATTTGAGTTGTTTTAAAGTAATTTGTCTTGTTTAATTATTTCTTGTTCTATTATCATTACTTTCATTAAATAAACATTATTTATATTACACTTCTACGCTACAATGATAAAAATAAGTATAAGAATATAGTTAAAATAATTTAGCAGTCAAATGTATTTAAAATAGTTAGTATAGTAAAGAGACATCTATTTTTCTTTTATAATAAAATGTTCGGATAGTAAAGCGATAGTTTGAATGTTAGAATATTCGGATAATATAAGTACCATTTAATTTTAATTTGTGATAAAACAAATGTAATGTAATGATTCGTCAAACCTTGAACGATATCCCTATACATACAAGAAACACGTGACATTTCTAAAAATATTTAATGGCGCCACAAAATTGACCAAAAAGAAGAAAAATTCCCAAGATTCCTTTCGAGTCGCTTGTAAATTCCTGCAGGAAATACTCGACAGACCAGCGAGGCCGATTTGTGAGATACCGATCCTATATCGTCTAATACTTCTCAAAGCGGGCCGTTCAAACGTTATTACGGATTACACGCGGCGATATACGAGATATATATACCGGTGTACGATAGGGATAGCGGAGACGCGGGGCTACGAACGACGGAGCCAAGGAAAAAAAGAGAAAGATCGTTACCTCTGAAGAGACTCGCCACTCCAAAGAATTTCCTACAGAGGGAGAGTACTACCTTCGAGAGTTCGAATGCGATTCTGCTAACGATCCGTACAGTTGCACCTGTATCCGTGCACCGGCGTCTCCCACCTCCTCCATCCCTCTTCCACGTTCACCTGAAACTCCGATCCAAACCTTCGCAAGAAAACCCTCTTGCTCTTCCGAGAACGAAGACCCACGCTTCTGAGCTACGCGACCTGTTTACGACTCGTTTCTCTAACTTCGTAGCCTTTCCTTTTTCTGATATATCAAACATTGATGCCCGTACAGAGTTAGCGAAACCGACTCTCGAAGTTGGGTTTGACTAGGCTAGCGATGAGATAGCTGCAACTTCTATAACTACGTAAAGTTCGCAATTTTCGACTATGCTGTACGTACTACGTTGTACGTGTATGCTGTGCAGCGACGTATCAGGCGAGACTGTCCGTTTCATTGAGCCATCGTTTATTATGAAGAAAGAGCCTTTTATATATCCAGTTTCTTTATTTCAAAGTATGTATTTAAATTTCAAGTAATAATCCTCTTAAACTTTCATGATTAACTAATGGATCTAACAACAAGATTTACCTTCTTGTAATCGGTAATTTTTAAAGTCAAGCAAATATTGACATTCTGCGTTTCTAGTCTTTGTTAATCATCCTTTATTAATTCTTTAGAACAGTAGATCAGTATTGCAGCAACGCATCAATTTTACATCCATGATACATTTCATTATTTAAAAATTAAATAATGGTAAAAATATAAAACATTTTGTATATCCAGTTTCTTTATTTCAAAGTATATATTTAAATTTCAAGTAATAATCCTCTTAAACTTTCATGATTAATTAATAGATCTAACAACAAAATTTACCTTCTTGTAATCGNGCATCAATTTTACATCCATGATACATTTCATTAGAAAAATTAAATAATGGTAAAAATATAAAACATTTTGTATATCCAGTTTCTTTATTTCAAAGTATGTATTTAAATTTCAAGTAATAATCCTCTTAAACTTTCATGATTAATTAATAGATCTAACAACAAAATTTACCTTCTTGTAATCGCTAATTTTTAAAGTCAAGCAAATATTGATATTCTGCGTTTCTAGTCTTTGTATCATCCTTTATTAATTCTTTAGAACAGTAGATCAGTATTGCAGCAACGCATCAATTTTACATCCATGATACATTTCATTAGAAAAATTAAATAATGGTAAAAATATAAAACATGGATTCATTCAAATGTATAACAAAACACATTCCTTTTCAAATAGAAGTTGGAAAAAGAAGATGAACTGCTCAAAGCGAGCTGTACAATTATACGTATTTTTAATACGCAATATATGATATTTCCGTGTAAATATATATATATATATTTATTTTTTTATCAGTAACGCAGAAATATACACATCTACTCGTAAGTTCATCCTAATCGTGTACAACTTGACGACAAACCACTTCAACGAACAAATCACGATCGAATCACGCATCGTATGAACGAGAACTCGCGGGACTATCGCTACGAGAGTGTCGTAAGAATCCAGGTGCGCAAAGTGTCGCACGGTGCTTGTTTACAACGGCAACCATAAAAATAAATGCAGGACAGCGCGGTCGCCCACGTTCTCCGGGTTCTCCGCGTAGCCTAGATTTACATGCGCGTATACAGGCGAGCAAATAAATGGAACGGAAAGAAAATGGAGAAACACGGTAGGGCAGGAAAAGGTGACTTCCAACGGGTAACTCCGAGCGACTGCCAGCTTGCCAACACCGGGACCGCTAGTGCTACTAGGAAATTCTCTTTGGGACACTGCCATCGACTTCGCTATCCACCGGGCCAAAGGAACCGCCCGGTTCGTGCATCTCTGCACGCGTGCACCTTCCCGTCTCGAACTGTATTTTCGACTTCCCTGTATCTTCCACGCCAGCCTGTGCCCCTCAAGCTCATCCTGATTTTCGCTGCGAGAAGGACTCGCACTCGAGAAGAGGTCAACGTCACCGACGAAGTAGGCTTCGTTAATCTTTCAACGAATGGGGATCGAGTTGTTATTTTCTTTGGCCGAAAGAGGTTTGGACATTTTAGGTAGGACAACTACGAATTTTCGTACCATTAACTTGTGTGTTGCAAGGCAGCTTTTAGAAATGACAAGCTCAAGGAAAGTTCTATTCTTGGCACATTCTCGGCGACAATCTCTAGACGTCAGTCACTGTTGTATCTTTTTATCAAATTGATTGACTATTCATCTAAAGAATAATCGAACTTTCACATACATCCCTTCTATGTATTGATGTAACAATTTGACAAACGACTTTTCTATGTCATTTCATGGACGATCGTCTCGCACGTCGATTCACGGTTTAAACCTCGTGGCACTGATTGAATTTTCATAATTAAACCGGTGCGTGTTAAGCACATGAAAGAATTAGGGGAAAAAGAATCTTCGAATCGATTACAAATTTACTTTCTAATCTCAAGTCAATTAACAACCAATTGACCTACCAATTAAAC